TGCATATAGTGAAAAGGCTTGAAAAGTGTTCTTGCGTAGATGAAAGCATTTGATTACATGCTTTGCTAATTTAACATTACCCTTTCCAATTCGGCATTTATTTACGAAAATTTCCAAAAACCCTACGAAAGAAACAGGGTTTTAAGAATTTAAAAATACTGTGACATACAACCTGAAGTTGTGCCTTCTGGGCATTTGCTGCAGGACTGTTAGCAAATTTAACAGTTATGGGTTCCGTGCAACCAGCTGGAATTTTTCCATTTAATTTCTCGATAGCATCTTCAGCTTCACTTTTCCGATCAAAACGTACAAAACCAACACCTTTTGATATTCCTTGAAATACATCAATTAAAGGAGAACGAGTAAACAACGAGCTAACACTAACATTCTCGATTTCAGTAACCTGATAACTGCATAGCATGCAAAACCAAAATCTTTCTTCTACATCTCAGCATAATTCTGCCAAAATGAAAAGCAATGTTATTTCTTTGCATAAGCTATGACATCAGACTTGTCTAATCACAAGAAACGAATACGCACGGCGTAAATTAAAATTACGTAATTTATTACCAGTAACATTGTCGGAGAGAATCCGTGATGTGATGATCTGCCCAAAAGGCTTGAAAAGTGCTTCCAAATCAAGTTGGCTCATAGTTTTAGCCAGGCCACTCACATATAAATTGGCTCCTTTGATAGATTCGCTGCTCGGCCGTGCAAATGACACCTTAAAATGAATATGCAAATATACTAATATTTTTTATTGTCATACTGACATTTTCCATATGACTTTTTGGATATAGCATGAAATCAACGGCTACTACTGAGATTATTTCATCCAAAACGCCATGTTTTTCATATTCCCTAATGTCGTTCCATATTTCAGTTGAACCCAAAAGCAAGCTCGCTATGTTTAAAGATTAGTTGAAGGAAATGAAATTATATCATAAACACATCAACATAAGTGCACAGATCCCAAAAAAACTTGCTGGTGGAACTAATTCAAAGTTATTTTAGGCTTCGTTTACCATCGTTTCCACTAATTTCAACTTGAATTATGATTGATAGGAAGTCAGAAAGCTCTACAAATGAGGGAGTTCCATGCAAAAATGAAAATATTTTGCAATCCAATAACAGATGTTACAAGAAAAAAAAACAAAAAAAGTTTTTAAATGAAAATCCAAAAAAAATAAAGCAAATCAGGGAAGACATACAAATAAACTATTTAAAAGCGAACCTTTATGGTTTTGTTTTGTAACCTGAGGCCATTTAATGAAGTGACGGCCTTGTAGGCATCCTCTTGACGGATATAATTAACAAAACCGTAACCAAGACTCTGACCTAAAAAATTGAAAACTGAACAATAATGATAACAAAAGCAGTGAAACGCAAAGCAAAAACATAATTTATGAACTGATTAAATTCAGGTGGTGTAAAAGTTAATGAAATAAACGCCATAAAAAACTCAAAACATATAAAGTAGAACTGCAGGAAGAAATTTTAGCAGTGAACAAAGGAAATAACTAAAATAGCGTGCTATTTCCACGAAACGATTATAGTTAAAAGCATGTTAAAATGAAAGAAAGTGAAAGAAGGCTCAGGAAAAGAAATACGAAAATTTTATTAGCTATCATTATCAATGACAAAGCAATTTTCTTCAAAGAGAGTCAATACTGAGCTGCTCTGAAATCGAACAAGGGTTCAAACCAAGCGACAAGTAGTGGAGTGGTACTTTATTTTCAGTTGGCAAAGTAGGAGTTTTTTGGATACTCAAGCTAGTGACACTTGAGTTGTAGTATTCAATTTGAATTTCTCGTGAAATTCGAGCTAACAAGTTTACAGAGATCTGAAAGCCTACCCGACAGAATTGTTAATCGTGAGTAAAATAAATTCAATAAATAATGAAGTAGTTCGCTACTTTGCTTCTACTTTGTTGTACTTCAGAGAATCAATGCAGTACAAATCATGATTACATTAAACAATTGTGAATCAGACTCATTACTTTGAAATAAGGGGAAGTACTTACTTCCCGCATTTTTTATGAGATTAGTTAATTCCTGGAGTGATTCTTGGTCATGTTTACCGTATACTTTAGGAAGCTGGTAGAAACAAAAAATTCGTACAACCTTTGTGGATTGATAAAAAACTCTTTTTTATTATATGGTGGAAAATGAAAAAATTCGTTTTCATAAAATATTATCACTTAATGATAGCTGACCTGTAACGTGTCCATTTTAAACATCCCATGTAAATTAAATTTAATTTGAGTGTGCCTTGAAAGAGGAATCCCACCCCAGTACAAAAGAATTTTATTCAACAAATCGATGACAATACATGGAAATGGAAAAATTCGGATTTGAAAGTTGAAATACAAGTTGATTTCCCTTTGTTATCAAAAACTCGCTCATTTTGGAAGTGCGATACCAATACGAAGGTATCATCAGTGCCAGCACCACTCAACAATTTGTAGGTCTTCCAGAAGTCTGTAAAAAAACGGAAAAAACAATCGTAGAAGTACAAAAGATGTTAACTAACCAGTAACTTTATCGCGTACGAGTTTACAGGAATCAATTTCCCCAAGGGTGGAAAACAAGGCATGCACTTCTTCTTGAGTCATATTCTGTGGTAAATAATTGATAATCAGATTTGTTGCTTTCGCTTCACCATCGTTTTCCAAAGTAGGAGAATTTGATGGCAACATAGACGATGAAGCATAACACTGAAAATCAACGGTTTTTAGAAATCCAAATCTACCTTTATCAATAAGTTTAGGACAATCCGTTAAAAAGATTATAGAGCTCCATGCTTCAACAAATATCCAAAAATAGGGTGAAAAGCCGGATTACTAAGTGTCTATGAATAAATTCCAGAGAAGTTTGTGATGGTTAAAAACGGAAAAACGTAGAAATAGGAGCTCATATTTCACAAGTATTTTCTCTTTGATTATTGGCTGCTTTCAAAACTGAATAATTTTCGTACATTAAACCGTAATTCTTTTCCCCTGCCAAAGGAAAAACGAATTAGGTCACAAAGTTTATATAGATATAATTGTTTAATATAATTATACCTATATGTAATTATACATGTATATATATATATGTATATATATATATATATATATATATATATATATATATATATATATATATATATAGTTA